CTGGGCCATAGACTAGGATGATGCGGCAAGGTGGCCATTCATTTTCTTGCCAAGTGATTCCTGCGCATTGGGTGTATGCACTTGGTTCCCTTTTTTGTCTTATATTGCCAATTTCATCATAGATGGGAACACCAAGAATTTGCTTTGTTTTTAATGGTAACAGGAAAAATCCTGGTCGAATTATTCCCAATACACAAGAGTATTAACATTGGGGAAGAAAAATTTAACGAATGAGAGAAGGTTATTTGGCTCATCATTTGCTTCCTTTCTCCATACCTGAAGCTTTTCCTGATTCCCTTGCTGCAAATTCGCCGTTATAACATAAGCTATTGCCGTATTATTTATCCTATTCCAGCAGAGAATCGCAAGCTATTTTTCGTCTTTCTGTGTGTTTTTTTACAGACTTCAGTACTGAAGGCGAAATGCTGTCTTACCTCAGTGCAAACTACGAGAACGCTATGAAGGATGGGGGAAATTTGTTTGCACGTTCTCAAGATATGGTGACGGCGGTTAATGCATTTCAGAAATCCAGTGAGGTAAAGTCGTCGCTTAGATACCACCCGTCTTTGCCACCCACCCAGAGGTCTTTCAAAGGTCTTTAAGGGTTTCACGGCACTGGAAGGGAAGCTAAAGAGAACAAGCTTATATTTCTCTATTACGGAAGCATAAATCCCCTGTCCGTGTGATGAAACGACATTCGCAATCCAGAAAAAGTTTGCGCCGTATTTTACAGTTCTTTTTGTGGCCAGCGAATTGGGTTTCAGGAATTATTTTTGCCTCTCTGCCTACACCAGGGATAGGCAACCTTGGCTCTTTTATGACTGGTGGACTTCAACTCCCAGAATTCCTGAACCAGCTACCCTGGTTGCCTACCCCTGGTCCATACCCGTGCATTAAGGAACATCCTGCAAAGTCATGGCCCTGTGTAAAGTGGAAAAGTGAGTCGGTTTCTCTCTCTCCCATATCTTTTGCACATGATATGCAATTGGCTTAGAGACCTCAAGAAAGCTGTGTAGACGCAAAGATAAAAGATGAAACTCTCCAGTTCCAAAACAGAATCGCCCAAAAAATAATAATAATGAAAACTTTTTACTGCAGAAACAATAAACTCGATTGGATTAGAACAGTGTTTCTCAACCTTGACAATTTTAAAGCATGTGGACTTCAACTCCCAGAATTCCACAGCCAGCATTGTGATGGCTGTGGAATTCTGGGAGTTGAAGTCCACATGCCTTAAAATTGTCAAGGTTGAGAAACACTGGATTAGAACAATCCACCCTTCAGCAAGACTTGACTTTGAAACAGTGGTATCATGTTTTTCAGCCCAGCACAAATGACATTAAAAGATATTGCAACAGAGCAATACAATTTTGTTCTTGCTGGAGAAGGGCATCTTGCTGGGAACATCCTGTGTGTGTGTGTGTGTGTGTGTGTTTCCTTTTTCTATTCAAATGTCATCTGCCTCCATATAAAGGAAGAAAAAAGGATTTCATTCACTCTTAACTAATTTGCTCCTTAATACGAGACTCTTAAGATTTAGCAGTGGCATATAAATCTATTAAATAAGTATCTCTTTGATACTCCCCCACTGCTTTTTGTTCTCATTTAATTAGGTAAGTCTCTCTGTTTTTGTGCAATTTGGGGCTATTTTTGTAGTTGCCGCTGGTTTTCAGTGCGTATCTGCAGTAACATCTTTCTCTCTAACGTTGTGTTTGTAGGCAGCTTGTCTAGATACGATCCAAACAAGTCTCCTGAAGACCACCAACGCTCTTCGTCAACAACTTGCTTCTGATCCTGATAAAGAAACCAAAATCAAAGAGTACGAAGACTGATCTTCGCTTCTAAAACCATTGACTCAGTTAATTTTTAGACGATGGCATTCCTCAGTACATAAGTGGAGGGATTTAGTTGAACACTTGATGTGATGTCCTTGATTTAAATTCACTCCCTTTATGTTGTTTCGAAAATATTTACATATCCAGTATATAATTAGCCTTGGCAAAATGTGTTATTTCTGTATGATGTATGGATAAAAGTACAGAGCGGTGGTGGCGCAGTGGTCAGAATGCAGTATTGCAGGCTAACTCTGCTGACTGCTAGCAGTTCGATCCTGACTAGTTCAAGGTTGACTCAGCCTTCCATCTTTCCGAGATGGGTAAAATGAGGACCCAGATTGTTGGGGGCAATATGCTGACTCTGTAAACTGCTTAGAGAGGGCTGTAAAGTACTGTGAAGTGGTATATAAGTCTAAATGTCATGGCTACCATATATATGTTTATAGGCTGGTTTTCCACTAGAATATTTGATAGTAATTGACGAGTAAACAATTAAAATACCCTTCATCCAAAATGCTACCCTAATTGGTATTAATTGAGAACATTCACGGCCTTGGGCACTGTGTGGAAAAAGCTTGTCAGAGTAATTTCCCCTGCACCCACCCACACAGTCCATTTTTATTGCTACATTGAACAGATGAAGGAGAAAGAAACAAGGAATATTCTTCTCAATCTGTCTTTTCCTTTTTTTTTTTTTTTATTAAAGGTGCCAACTTCAAGTGTATTTGCGCCTGGAGATGTGCCTGCAACGTCCTTCTTTGCAAAACAACACAGACAGAATGGAGCAGCTTGTGCAAGAGGTAGATAAAGAAGGGTGTGTGTGAATGTGTGTGTGTTACACTTCTCTTGCGTACTGGAAAGTAAGGCTTCATTCTCTTATTTGCCCCGAGTTGCAGTTTATGGCCTGAGCATCATGGATTTTGTGACTTTTGCTCTCTTGCAGATGACAGAGTTACTTAGGATGTTGTGCTTGACTAAAGATCCAGGATACCTCAGCAGTTTTTTGGAGGAAGTTCTAGATATGTAAGTAAAGTAAAGGATTTTACTCCACTGGTCTTTGTTGACTATAGAGGGCGGCGCTCATCTCCATTTTAAGGTCATTGTGGCAGCGCTGTCCAAAGACATTTCCGTGGTCATGTGGCCAGCGTGACACCACGGAGAGCTGTTACCTTCCCAATAAAGTGGTACCTATTTATCTACTCACACTTGAATGCTTTCAGACCGCTAAGTTGGCAGGAGCTGGGGCAAGGACAGGAGCTCACCCTGTCGCATGGTGCTCGGATCTCAAACCTGGGCTGCTGGCTTTCCGCCTTTGCACTTCAATGACAAAGCAAAATACACAGCTTGGTGTCTAAATTTCACCCAAGATTTAAATCCTATGGTTTTGCTCTCCCTTGCAGATACATGGAATCTATGCCAAAGACGCTTGGTGATTTGTACTACAGTCTGGGAACGGAGATTCCCTCTAAGTTAGCTTCCGTCCTTCCAGCGGATTTCTTCAGCGACGATTCCATTACCGAGGAGACAGAGAGTTCACCCTTTCCTGCTTCGGCCGCCTCTTTTCCACTTTCTAAAGCAGGTTCTTTAAGCACTGAAGCAGATGAGCTGGAAGAACTTCGCAGCCGATCTGCTAAGAAACGGTAGGTGTATGTCACAAAACGGAATAAATAGTACTGAGTTTAATTTAGGCCAGTGGTTCTCAACCTTTTTAATGCCGCGACCCCAACCGGTTGTAAGTCGAGGACTAAACCGGTCATAAGTCGAGGACTAAACCGGTCGTAAGTTGAGGACTACCCAACCGGTCGTAAGTCGAGGACTTTCCCTCCCCGGGAGTGCCGCGCATGCGTGGTTCCGCCCCCTGCGCCGGCCGAGGCGTAGCTGGCAAGCGGCAGAGACGGAGCAGGCCGACCACCAGCTGGCCCAGCCCAAGGGAGGTAAGGCACCCGCCGGAAAAGGGGGGAAAAATGGCGGACAAAAAAAATGGCGGACAGCCTTGCTCGGCGACCCCCGTGAAATGGTCGATCGACCCCAAATGGGGCCCCGACCCACAGGTTGAGAACCACTGATTTAGGCTAACATGTAGGAGCAACTTTGCATGACGTTCGTTCTGTTTACTTCTTTCCAGTGTTTCTTCTGCTTCTGTAATTAATTTCTATATAGCCACAGCATCGGTTGGATTCTTGGGTGAAAGAGGGAGTTGATGTCACCCTTATCTGTTGGGTTTATTGTGTGGGGATATTCTGAAGTCATCTGTGTGCGAGAAACTCAGTCTTGTCCAGATTAAAAACAGTCAAGCTTGTTTCATGGTGGGGAAGGGAAGCAAAAGTCCTACATCTTAAAAAACCAGAATCTCAATGTTTCCGCTTCACTTGCTAAAAGCTTTGCCTTCTGCTTTCAGAAAACATCCGCTAGCCAGACATAGGAGTATCGCAGAAATGTCACAGAATTTACGCCAAATAGAAATTCCTCAAGCATCCTGGAACCACAAGAGAAAGGTGAAATTTCCAGTTGGGAACAAATGGCATGCAAAATGAAAGGGGAAAAAAAGCATACAACCATTAGAAAAGGCAACCATGTTGCACAAAAAACAATCTTTTGGAAAGTGTGATAGCTTTTTGTGCATGGAAGGGAGCCATTTTTTTACTTTCTATAGAACTTGGGATGAAGTAGTTTTTATTCACGGGTTATTCACAGTGTTAAGTTTTCCACCGAAGCCTATAAATGATGTAAATTTTGCAGCCTTTCTAATGCCCGTATTCTAAATTTTCAGGACAGCTCTCATGTGCCCCTTGAGGTCAAACTGGCACCAATTTCCAAGAAAATGGGAGTACAAGGTATGTCTTTTTCCCCCAAGCAGGAAGTGAGCTGATATTTTGCTCACATTAAAGGCAGCCAGGGTATTAGACTGCAACTTTGTGTCATTAAAGATATTCATTTAAAAAAAAAATCTAGCATGTGCCTTATTTTTTTTTTACAAACCTTCTTTAATCTCTTTTATCTTGAGCACCCATAATTCTGCTTCCGTGTAATACAGCCACAAATTGTATCAGTTGCATCAAAACTGACCTAACAAACCGGAGCAATGAGATGTCTGTCTTAAAGATCTTTTATTGATTTTTTTCTTAAATATATCTTATTGATGATTGGTTTTGTCCAGGACATGCTTGAACACCATAAAACCTCTTTTTTGTTGTTGTTGTTGTTGTTGTTGTTGTTGTTATTATTATTATTTAAATTTATATACCGCCCTATCTACCTTATGGGACTCAGGGCGGTGAACAGGCAATAATAAAAATCACAGTAAATATTACATAAAAGCCTGCTTTAAAATATAAAACCCCTAACAAAACCCAATCAAAACTACGCCAGGCTGGCCGCATGGAACAGATGAGTTTTCAGGGCTCGGCGGAAGAGGCGCAGGTCCGCAATTGTACGTAGGTCAGGGGGCAGGTCATTCAACATGTTGTTGTTGTTGTTGTTGCTTTCAGAAGTGATAAAGGTGAGAAGAAATCTTTTCAATAGAGAAACTCTATCTCTGGGCAAAGGTTCCTTACCAAAGATGGCTCGGAGCCAGTCAGTTTCCATTTTGGAAGATCTAAAACATAAACGCAGCAGATCTAAGGAAGATATTAAAGGTAAGAGAACAATGGATGGAATATTAAGAGGGCTTGAGTAAATGTCTGTCAGATCCTATTTCATGAATGACTTTTTATTTACAACGACGGTATTTGCTGCTTTCTAAGCATCCATTCAAGAGCTCAGCATCTCAGCGTCTCTGCTGTCTGTGACAAAGCACTTGAACTAACACGAGGCTCTTAAGATTCAAAAACATTCCCAAGAACCATTCCAAAAATTGCCAGCTAACTTGTTTTTAATCTGACAGGCAAGAATTATCATTAAAGGCCACTAACTGGATTTTTTTCCCCTTCCACTCAGTTGTGTCCAATTAGCAGCAACTTCTATTCTATTCTATTCTATTCTATTCTATTCTATTCTATTCTATATTCTGTTCTATTCTACTCTATTCCTCATTTTAATTCTATTCTATTCTATTCTATATTCTATTCTATTCTAATCCATTCTATTCTTCTCTACTCTCTACTTTCTACTCTCTACTCTGTTCTAATTGTGCATATGGAATTTATTTTCACAGCACTGTATTCCCTACATCTGATAAAGTGGAATTTGTACACTATAGCTTATATGGGGAAAATGTGATTGTGTTCAAGATACTACAGTATTTGTCATGATAACATGGGGGAGTAGTCTCTGCTTTCAATACAAATTCAATCCTGAAAAAGAATTCCTGTCCTTGCTGTCCAAACAGGAAGCAAACAGATTAGTTGCTTAGTGCAATCTTGTTTCTCTACACAATGTACTCTGTTTTAGCTCATCACAAGCTCTTGACCACAACGGTGGCAGAAACCCCCTTGCACAAGCAGATGTCCAGGCGCCTTCTGCAGAGGCAGATTACAGGCCGGTGAGTGAAAGCTTCCGAATCATTTAATAGCAATTTACCAATCTTACTTTGGTATAAAGTCGCCATTCCTTTCTTCCTTTCTTTACTTCTACACCACTTGCTGCTCCATTAAATCTCAAACATTCCTTTCTTCAAAGGTGTTCGGATCCTGGGTCTGATGTTGGCATTGTGGAAGAATCTCCTGAAAAGACCATGACCTGTAAGTACTGATTGACAGGCTATTGCTTTGCAAATCAAAGTGACTTGAAAATTGAGAGATGTTGGTTACATGAATGCAACTAAAATTATTTTCATAGCAGAGCAAGAAGAGACAAGTGTTGCTTATAACTTTATAACCCTGGCCTGTTATAGATTACTTTAGCGTATACCACAGGATGTGATCTGAACCGCAACAGGAATTTGAGAAATAGCAATCGTACTTAGATTTATATACTGCTTCACAGTGCTTTACAGCCCTCTCTAAGCTGTTTACAGAGTCAGCATGTTGCCCCCAGCAATCTGGGTCCTCATTTTACCGACCTTGGAATGATGGAAGGCTGAGTCAACCTTCAACCGGTCAGGATCGAACTCCAGGCTGCAAGCAGAGTTAGCCTGCAATAGCACTTAGACTTCTGCTTCATAGTGCTTTCAGGCCCTCTCTAAGCGGTTTACAGAGTCAGAGTATTGCCCCCAACAATCAATTTTACTGATCTCAGAAAGATGGAAGATTGAGTCAACCTTGAGCCAGTGAGAATCGAACTGCAGGCAGCTGGCAGTCAGCAGAAGTAGCCTGCAATACTGCATTCTAACCACAGTGCCACCACGGCTCTTAGGACTAAATTCTGGCTTTGGTCAAGAGCCATTCATCAAGTATAGCATTGTTATCTCAGCTGCTTTCATTTTTTTGAAAGCAGCCGAGTCGCAGGATGAAATAGAGACTCAGCCTTCCTACACTGGCACAAAATTGCTCCAATTTCATCTAGATCAATGTGTGTATGTGTGTGTGAGAGAGAGAGAGAGAGAATGAGAGAGTGTGTGTTTAAAGGACACTGAGCGATGCTAACCCGCGGCCCTTTATAGTTGAGTGTCCAAGTTTAGTATTATTTCTGTCTCTTAGTGGTGGTGTCTAGAAAGCGTATTTGCTAGAGGCAGAGATCAGTTTTCCATCTTGCCAATTTATGCTCCTGAAAAATGAGAGTATTGTGCTTTTGAGGTTCTTTTGGTGAGTGGGGCTTCCAGTCCTCAGTATTTCCTTCTAAGGGTGACATAGTCTATCTCAAGCATTAACGCTCCTTGATTCTCTCCCCTTTTGTTCTGTCTTCCTAAAAGATGGTTTAAGAAGAAGTCCGCGGATCAAGCAATTGATGCAGGATAAATTTCTCTCCAGCTCCATCCGCTCCCTAGAGCCAAATAAAAGGAACACACCACAAGTGCATTCTGCACATCTGGAAGAACCAGGTGAGGAAGGAGATCTAATAGGAGTGTCAGAGATTGAGTTTCCTGATTTGTAGCAGTATTTATGTTTGTACTATTTAGAACCGGTTTGTTTTTGACCACTAATTTAAATTAAAGTCTTTCCTATTTTCCAATACAGAGTAGACAAACCTCCGACCTTCCAGATATTATTTCACTGAATTTCTCAGCATCCCTCACCATTGACTAGGCCGGCTAAATAATGCTAGGAGGTGTAGGTATTTAGAAGGACATGGGTTTTTCGTTTTGATTTATCACGATAAATGGTAGTCTTAGGTAGACAGAGCTTGTCCTGCAAACTTACAGACACAGTTGCTTAAGCCTGTCTGAACTGTTGGATTTTTATTCACAGGTCTGGCTTCACCTCCCGTAAAAGCCCCCCAATCTCCTAAGAGTATTCTCTTTGGAGAAGTTTTGGATGGATTTAGTTTGGGGGGAACAGACTTTCCCCAAACGAGAAGAAAACAACTGACCTTTGATGAGCCTGTCCCTCAGGTAGAATCGCCACGTTTCTATTTTTCTCAATGCTTGTCTGGTTTTTTTTAAATTTATTAATCAAATGTATATAGCTGCCCATCTCACCTAAAGCAATTCTGGGTAGTGGTCAACACTGTTTTTTTCAGCTTCTTTGCTGTTTTTAAAAGCTTGTGGGTCTAGACTGTAGTTTAACAATTTACAAGGCATCTGCTTGGCAATTGTACACATAAAAACGACCTCAGCCTACTGATAGGTAATATATTCTTCAGAAGGTGTTTATTCAAAATGTATTAGAATTTAATGATTAAAAAATTGAGATTCCTTTGCTATTCATAGAAGAAGATGCATGCAATTTTTAAAGAGGGTGGTTAGATGAGCTCCAGCTATTTTACAAAGCAATCATTACATACCGCAATTCTGCTCACATTTTTTGAGCACGCTAATCTTCGTGCTTAAAAAGCGCTCGGTTTATTCTGTTCTTTTCTCTGAATTCCCCAAAAGCAGTGATCTTTTCCCACGCTTCCTTCACAGGCACCAGGGAAGAGTTATTTTCAATCTTCCCAGGAGCTCTTCAACCCCAAGGGCTGCACGCTGAGAAGATCTCCTCGGATTCAAGAAAAGGCACGGCAGACTCCCCAGAAAACGCCAGCCCTTAAAAACTCGGTGGCCAAATGTTTGGGAAATCTTTTCTCCCCCCCGAGGCAGAAGGGCGAATCCTCGCCTGCCTCCACTGAAAATCAGGAATCCCGTCGGGCCTGGATTGCAGAGGAGAAAGACGGGCGTCCTTCCTCACCCAAAGCAGCAGATCCTCAAAGTCCAGAGAAGCCACCGCTGTCCGACCTGCTGGATGATGTGTTCGCTTTGCCTGCAGATGGTCCCGATTCACCCATCGTTCTGTCGTCCCCTTCATCCCCCTTCCCTCTTCAGGGGGAGCCGTGCTCAGAACTGCAATCCCCAAGGCGTCCCTCGAGAACTGGCCCCCAAATAACGCCTAACAACGCTTCGGCCGAGAACCGGGTTTTTGAGAGAAGAAGGAATACGTGTCCTGAGCCGATCTCATCTGTGGACTTTCCCTCTCTGTTGCCAGAAGCGTCATCCGCAACCTTGAAGGAGACGCATCCAGAACTGGGCTTGTCGCCAAATATTAGGATTCCTTCAGAGGTCGCTTCTGCTTTCCAATCTGATGGCCTCTCTCCATCCCGTAACGGGTCTGCAAAAGCAATGAGCCCTTGCGCACTCTCGCTGACTAGGGAAAAGCAGGGAAGGAAATCTTGCAGTCCCCAAGAAACTCAGGGTGTCCGAGAGAGCTCCCCAATAAAAGCCCCCAGCTCCCCCCCTTCCTTGCCCGGAGAGGAACATCCCTCTACGGACAGCAAAAGTCTTGTTGCTGAAACCAGCCCATTGATTAAACCTGGCAACACAGAGGACACCTCCTTGCATCAGAGACCTGAACCGATAACTAAAATGATAAGCCCAAGTCGTAAGAGGAAGGGTCCGGAGAGATGCCCATCGCCCGCCTTCTCTTCCAATAATCCCCCATGCTTTTCACACGCCGTAGTTCTGTGCCAAAAACTGGATGTCTCCCCTCTTCTCCACAAGCCTCTTTCAGACAGCTCTCCCGTAGACCAAGGCCCCAAGAGGCCCCCAAGTGGCATTGCTTCAGCAGAGGAAGCCGCAGATGCACAGCCTGCGCTCTCCTCGAGCCCCCCCAGGCACGATCGGGCCTCCTCCCTGCTTGCAATCTCAAAGTCAGGTTCTTGTGCTTATGCGTTGCGTTGCACCGCTGACAGGCGGCAACGGGAAGCTGCAGCCCGGCTGGAGAAGGAGGAAAAGATGGCTACGTCCCAAACTCTCGGGGCAACGGCTGCTCCACTGACCTATGAGGTGGAACTTGAAATGCAGGCTTCCGGTCTGCCCAAGCTCCGCATCAGAAAGGTGGCTTCCGAGGCTGTGCAGCAGCAGCAGCAGCCTCCTGTTTCGTGTGACACACTCAAGGGGGAGGAAAACGATCGCACGGCGGGGGATGTTTCGGTGGCCTGGTGTAGCAGGCACCCAGAGAAATTGGAACTGCTGTCCATCTCGCCGTCCTGTGTCCGCTCTGCCCACAATACCCCTGGGAAGTTTGGGATTGCTGGGCAGACTTACATATGCCACTCCTATTCACCCACGCTCTGCGCCTCGTCTACGGCTTCCCCGTCCCAGGGCAGCAGTGGTGTGGCTTGGACCCCGTCTCCAAAACGTAACGGGAAGGTGACCCCCGAGGCCATCAAAGATTGGCCACGGAGGAAAAGGGCCGCGGTTGGCTGCAACCGAAACGAAAGGCCAGCAGAAGCGGTCGGAGAAGAGCCAGCCCCACATCCTGGGGGCAAGGAAGCATTAGAACTCTTCGGTCCCAGGAAGGCTCAGCCCTTGGGAGACCCGGAATTTGAAGGAATAGATATGCTTCTAGATCTTGGCAGCGATACAGAAGGCAACAAGGAGGAGAACCTCATCATGCTGGGGCTAGAGTCTAGAAAAAGGGCTCTGGAGCCAAGATCACTGGGTGAGGAGGCTAGCCAGGAAATGAAAAGGCCGTGCCTAATAAAAGAGAACCCCAGAGTCGCCGTCTACTCAACTGAACTGCTCAGCACGGGAGAACAGACAGTCTCCTCAAAGTCAACAACCCTGGAGGACATCTTCAGCTTCTCAGGTACTTTTGGACTGATCGTTCCTACTGTTGTCCTGTCAAGGCAGCTATTAAATAAGTCCCATTGCCAGACCTTTTCCTACAGTTCTAGTAAGAATACAAACCTTAGTTGCAGGAATCCAACTTAAAGCATTCTGAGCAGGTGGCTGTCTCGGTCCTGGCTTCATTTCTTCTGTGGTTTCTCGATGTCACGAGAAGGGCACTGAGGCTGGATCTTGACCTTTAATTATAATGAGCCTACCAGGATAAACCTATGCAGAGCTATTGATGTCTTGCTTTATTTTCTGCTTACAGCCAGCAAATTCCATGAAAGCCACTTTATCTCTTGTAAAGAGCTCCTTAAGATTTTCCTCCAGTACTAGATGCAATTCCCCACCTCTCCAATTATGCTTAAACCTCCTGTTTTCCCAACTCCAGATACGACTCCACCCAAATCTTCAGGTGTCATCTCCGCAAGTGGCCTTTGGGCACTGGAACAGTCCCCACTCCTGTATAAAGGCCCTCCTACGTCCCAGAGGAAGTGCCCAAACGGTAATGCAGATTCGCCTTTCAAAGCATTGGTGTGATGAGTAACAACATTTCAACGGAGCTGAATTTCTTGCATATAGTATTGCGAGGGTACAAATTCCCGGTGTCCTCTAAAATTAACCTCAGGCTTGAGGTCTGCGGAGATTCTCAGTCTTCCAGGCCATGGTTGTCCCAACGGTGCTTTTTTTCAAGAGGCCACTGGACTTTCTTCTTTCTTCTTCTTGGGTGAGAAGCAAAATGTGTTCAAGGAAAAACAAGTCCAGTTGCTTCCTAAAAAATCACCTTTGGGCCACGCCTGAGTTCATGGATCCTGTTGTCCCATTGCCTGGCTTATTTGACCATTATCTGCTGGCTGCGTAATTTATATTATATGCCTGCTAGGAACATCATCCAAGAAGCTTCTTCAGCTCTGACTGGACGGTGGGGAATGGAAGGGTTTATATTCCTTGCAGACAGCTGTTCATTTGCATTCTTTTAGAGAGGTGTTGAGGCCACTTGGAGGTTTATCTGTGTCCTCAAGGTCACCTGAGTGGTACAAATGGGTGTGGAACCGCCTTGGAACTGCTGAAAGGACTCCGTTGTAGACTGGAGATAGATCTATCTCCAGACTGCAAGGAATATAAACCCTTCCATTCCCCACCCTCCAGCCAGAGCTGAAGAAGCTTCTTCGGATGAGAGGCGAAACGTCTTCAAAGAGAAACAAGAAAGTCCAGTGGTCTCCTGAAAAAAGCATCTTTGGGGCAATTATGACCTGGATGACTGAGAATCTCCTTCCTCTCGAAAAAGAACCTTTGGGATAAACCTGAGGCTTGTTTATTTGAAACACCTCGAGTTTCTTTTGAGCCAAGAAAGAGTTTTTCAAGACCAGTAAAAGCGCCTGGCTCTTAATTGAGTGTGGTTTCAAAAACATGAGAAAAGAAAATGATGGGAAGTAAGAAAGAAAGGGGAAAAAAAGCAAATTCAAGCCCTGACTGTTGGGTTGCAGTAGCCTTGGAGAACATATCTAGAGTGCACGAAGCTAAGTTGTAGCTAGGCTTGATTTCCCGAGCAGCGATTGTAGTTGAAACTATAGCCTGTTCGAGGTTAACGTCCCTCAATCCTGCTTTGGAATGGTAACCAGTTTGAAGCAACAGCTTTGCAAATCATGGTCACATGCCCAGGGAACATGTCAACACTGCCAACATTGGATGTTCTTGCTTTGACAAACTATGAAGAGGCAGCCACTCTCTGTATAAGCTGTGTGGTACTTTTAGAGTTAAATCAGATGATGCTGGGAGGGGAGGAGAAAGAATGTGTGGGGGGAGTAGTTAAGAAACCAGTAAGGGGAACTTTGCCCTTCAAACTGATTGGAGAACGTGATTTATGACTGCAAATTAGAGGAGAGGAATATGCTTGAAATATTATGTGCTCAGGGGAGGAGAACTCAGATCTTGGCATCCACCATGCTATGCCGGACACTTTGTTTCACGATTAAAGACTTTTTTTAGGATAAACAATGCCTGGAAGTTCTTTGAAATGTTTCGTTAGTCGGAACCACGACAGAACACTTCAAACAGCCATAAATGCAGGCCGGTTGCCGAGTGTCCAAAATGCGGTCACCTGACCTGCGGGGGGGGGGAGGAGATATTGTCAGAACTTCAGAACAAGATCGTAGGTCCATCATGACTTCAGAAGGGTGCTAAAGTCGAGTCCCTGTATTGCCAAATTAGAATAGGTAGAGGGGGAAGGATCTTGGATCCTTACCCTCTTCTGCTACAACTTCATACTCTGCTAGATGACAGCAAGCTATTTTCATCTTTCTTTTGAGAAAGCTGGGAAGCCCTACTCGCCCTTCAAGCAAGAAGTAAGCTTCCCCATCTCTGTTCTTCACGACGTTCCGTTGGGATTTCTAACACGTGTTTCCTCCTACAGGGGAAGACTCGGAGACGTTTGCAGCTGCGTACGAGGATCTCTCTCTTTTCCGCAGCGCGCCAGGCAGAAAGAGATCCATTACCAGGACCTACTCACGGAAAAGGCCACTCTGCTGAGTCGGGATGGCCGGTGGGAATACGTTGGAGCCAGACATTCAACTTCTCTGAGAAAACATTGCAATCCAAACCAGGATTCAGCCCCCAAAAGGCATTGCTGGGTGTGGCTGACAGTTCCAAGAACAGCAGAAAGGGACTCTGTATTTCTTGGAGCTTCTGCTGAATTCCAAAAACTGTGTTGGACTTTAACTCCCATAATCCCCCAGCCCGCATGACGACTGGCTGGGGAATTCTGGGGGTTGGAAGTCCACACGTTTTAAAATGGCCAAGGTTGGAGACCCCTGCTGGTACTGTATATAGGTTTTTAAAGTAAGGGTTGTGCCACCGTATGGCCTTTCCAAGGTTTTAAGCAGAATGTCCAGAAATAGAGAGCAGTGAAAGCAAACACTTTTAAATTGTTCTTTTGTAAAATAAATTAAAAAAATTTTTTGGGGACAGACTGATTTTTCAAACGGTCGTTAAAAGTTTGAGCACATCTTAGATTCATCTTAAGTATTCCAAGGCTCTAGATTTGTCTCCACTGCACTTTTGAAGTCCTAACCCCGAACCTGTTGACTATGCCTGGAGGGAAAGAAAAATCAACTACTGTTTTTTTATGATCAAACCTTCTCAAGGGCAAACTGTAGACAAATTTACAAATAGCTACTCTAGTTTATTGAAAGTACAGTTCCAAGGAGCTACTTAAAAGTATGTATACATATTTGCAAACAGATCAAATTTACTGTCCTTTTGTTTGGGTGGTATTCGTTAAGGGAAATCCAGGTTTGCAACGAAAAGGGTCTGCAAAGAATGGAAACAACCAGTTTCACTGTAAAAGGCAACTATACAAAAGTAACAAAAGCAGAAAAGCCCAGGTAAAAGATCTCTGAAGATGTCAACATTTGACTGGGTTCATTCATTACACTAAAGCAGAATGTGATCTGTACAATCTGGAGATCGTAAATGCTGGAAGAGATCTTCCCAAGGCCAAAATCCACCAATACAGTATTTCTGATAAATAATTATCTAGTCCAGTGGTTCTCAACCTGTGGGTCGGGACCCCATTTGGGGTCGATCGACCATTTCACGGGGGTCGCCAAGCAAGGCTGTCTGCCATTTTTTTGTCCATTTTTTCCCCTTTTCCGGGGGGTGCCTTACCTCCCTTGGGCTGGGCCAGCTGGTGGTCAGCCTGCTCTGTCTCTGCCGCTTGCCAGCTACGCCTCGGCCGGTGCAGGGGGCGGAACCACGCATGTGCGGCGCTCCCGGGCAGGGAAAGTCCTCGACTTACGACCGGCTGGGTAGTCCTCGACTTACGACCGGTTTAGTCCTCGACTTATGACCGGTTGGGGTCGCGGCATTAAAAAGGTTGAGAACCACTGATCTAGTCTCTGTTTAGAGATCTCCAGCGAAGGAATCCACCAACGTTTGAGGCCATCTTTTCCATTATTTGGACGTTTTCTATCATTAGGAAAGTGTAAAATCTCTATGGCAGACATGTCCAATCTTGGCAACTTTTAAGATTTGTGGACTTCAACTCCTATGGCTGGCTCCTATGGGAATTCTGGGAGTTGAAGTCCACAAGTCTTAAATTTTGCCAAGGTTGAACACTCCTGATCTATGTCCTGTATTCTGGAGCAACTCTTCTCCATGCAGCCTTTTGTTAACTCAAGCTATTATTTCTTCAGAAGACCCTGATTTTGCATAATGGATGGGCCCACCTCCTGTCTTTTTGGCGATTTATGAGCAGTTACGTTCAGAAGGCTCTTATTAGCTTATTTTAGATGGAACACAGTCAACATCTCAGAACTAGAGTGGATTTTTTCTGACATCAATGATTTCTGGGTAAGACAATCCAGGAATGGCATTCTGGCTGGCCCGGTGCAATTCCTTCCGGGATCTGGGCGGCAAAGGAATCTCCTTGGCTTGGTTAGACCTTACGAGATAATCTGTCTCCATTTGACGAAAATCTTCCACTATCAAGTTATTGGCACTAGAAAGTGAGCAGCGCCTCCACGTGGACGGTAACGGCGTATGCACCAAGTCCTGGGGCTGGCTATTTTTGGTAAAATCTTCATATGTGCTGAGTGAATGGGGTCTATCCATACCTGTAGGAGAAAAAAATCTTTTAGTGAAAGTGATGGAACGACATGGTTGGTATAATAGCTGTTTGGGTTTGGGTTTCACAAAGCCAACTGCTTTGCATACAGCAAAGCCGTTTTTAACATACTTGAATGATGTTCCTAGCAGGTATATAATATAAATTACGCAGCCAGCAGATAATGGTCAAAGAAGCCAGGCAATGGTAGCAAGGGACAACAGGATCCATGAACTCAGACGTGTCCCAAAGGTGGTTTTTCAGGAGGCAACTGGACTTTCTTGTTTTTCTTTGAAGACGTTTTGCTTCTCACCCAAGAAGCTTCTTCAGCTCTGACTGGAGGGCGGGGAATGGAAGGATTTATATTCCTTGCAGACAGCTGGTCATTTGCATTCTTTCTGAGAGCCGTTGAAGCCATTTGGAGGTTTACCTGTGTCCTCAGGGTCACTTGAGTAGTGCCAATGGGTGTGGAGCCTTCTCGGCTGCAGGATGTTCCCCACCATCCAGTCAGAGAAGCTGCTTGGATGAGAAGCGAAACGTCTTCAAAGAAAAACAAGAAAGTCCAGTTGCCTTCTGAAAAAGCACCTTTGGGACAACCATGACCTGGATGACTGAGGATCTCCATAGTACTCAGACATGATATCCCATAGTGCCGTGAGCTCTCTACGCCAGAGGTCCCCAACCTTTTGGGCATCAGGGACCGGTTCCATGGAAAGGTTTTTCCATGGACCGGAGGGGGTATGTGATTTTGTGTGCTGCCTGCATCCCGTGGATGAGGCATTGCTTGTTTGTGCGGACCGGTATTGGTCCATGGACTGGAGGTTGGGGACCCCTGCTCTACACAGTGCAACCTGCATTTTTTTTAGCTTCTGGTGCTTCTGGGACAGTATTGCCAAACACGGTGCCTTGGCTCCTTTGCCAAAACATCTGTTTGTTGAGATCCTGAGTCCAGATGCATCCAGTTCCCATTTGGGAACATGACCAGATGAACTAGTTCTACTTTATTGTAAGTCTGCGTTAACCGAACCTTGTAAGTCCGAAAGCACAACACTTCCCATCCCCATTTTTAACTACTTTGATTTTCTTCCTTAGTTTCTTTCTCTGACCGTTAAAACCACTGCAGACTCCTGTATCTTGTCTGACGGTTTCCTAGGCCAGTGATGGTGAACCTTTTAGAGACCGAGTGCCCAAACTGCAACCCAAAACCCACTTATGCATCGTCGAGTGCCGGGTGGGTGTGGCCCATTGGCTGGGCGTGGCTGCGGTGGTAACGGCAGACTGGGTGGGACTAAAAAGTTCAATCAATTCCAACTTTGCAAGATCTTTTTTTTCACCGCAAGAAGTTGAAATTGATTGATTGAACCTTTTTTTTTTTTTTTGCACACGGAAGCGGCGGAGGCCTAAAGCGAAAAGGTTTTATAAAACCCAGCTGAAGGCCGAGGACTGGGGCGACGGTGCGCGTGTCCACAGAGAGGGCTCTGAGTGCCACCTGTGGCACCCGTGCCATAGGTTCGCCACCACTGTCCTAGGCAATATCTCCTCTCTTTCCCCTGGATCATTCAATTCATTCATTCATTCCATTTCATCAGTTTATCTTCCTGCCCCACTTCCTGTCCTCTCTTATCTGAACCTTTCCTCTTTTCCTCAAGACCGTTTCCTCGGTCCTCTACAACCAGCAGAAAAGCAAAGGCTGATTCACCCCACCAGAAACCTAAATCTCACCTCCGCTGTGTCCCTCTGACTGCTTTAACTTTTGGTTTAATTCCTCGTTTCGCCATTTGCAATGAGCCAATTCCTTTTCCAGCGTCTGGATCTTTTGCTCATACTGAAGCCTGCTGTTTCCCTGCCCTTCTATGTGCTCTGCAAAAGAAGGAAGTAAATAAAGTCTGTTAAAAACGCAAAGATTTGGACAAACAATGATTAATAATAATAATAATAATAATAATAATAATAATAATAATAATAATAATAATAATAATAATGTTGGAAGGGACCTTGAAGGGCATCTAGTCCAACCCCCTGCCCAGGCAGGAAACCCTACACCATTTCAGACAAACGGCTGTCCAGTCTCTTCTTAAAAACTTCCAGTGTTGGAGCATTCACCACTTCTGGAGGCAGGTTGTTCCATTGGTTAATTGTTCTAACTGTCAAGAAATTTCTCCTTAGTTCCAGGTTGCTTCTCTCCTTGGTGAGTTTCCATCCGTTGCTTCTTGTCCTGCCTTCAGGCGCCTTGGAAAATAGCTTGACTCCCTCTTCTTTGGGGCAGCCCCTGAGATATTGGAAGACTGCTATCATGTCCCCCCTCGTCCTTCTCTTTGTTAAACTAGACATTCCCAATTCCAGCAGCCATTCCTTATATGTTTTAGCCTCCAGTCCCCTAATCATCTTTGTTGCTCTTCTCTGTACTCTTTCTAGAGTCTCAGCATCTTTTTTACATCGTGGTGACCAAAACTGGATGCAGTATTCCAAGTGTGGCCTTACTAAGGCATTGTAAAGTGGTATTAATACTTCACGTGATCTTGATTCTATCCAACAGAGACAACCCTTTTCTTTAAAAAAAACCCCCACAGAATTAAAAAAATCAGAAGCTCATGGAAAACACAAGGAAACTTTCAAAGTATGTGCATCTGAATACATATTATCTTAAGGATAAACCTACACTTCTATGTGCAATATAATGTAAGACCAGCTAATAAAGAATCAGCTTATTCTTGTGTCACAGCAGAGGGTAGCCCCTTAGCTGATCTGACCGATCTTTAAAAAGCTCAGCAGGATTGGAGCTGGTACATAGGATGGGGGAGCACAAGGAAATCTAGAGCTACTGATCTGATTCAGAAGTTGGAAAAAGCACTCCGGAAAACTGATCAAGGAGAGAAGCAACCTAGAACTAAGGAAAAACTTCCTGACCGTTAGAACAATTAACCAGTGGAACCACCTGCCTCCAGAAGCGGTGAAGGCTCCAACACTGGAAATTTTTAAGAAGAGACTGGACAGCCATTTGTCTGAAATGGTATAGGGTTTCCTGCCTGAGTAGGGGGTTGGACTAGATGACCTCCAAGGTCCCTTCCAACTTTATTATTATTATTATTATTATTATTATTATTATTATTATTATTATTATTATCCCCTCCTTTATTGTTGCTTGACTTTAAGTCTTCATTGTAAGGTTCTTCAAAGATCTCTGCTGTTTTTCAGCCAAATACATCTTTACAGATTCAATGGAAGAGGCAATTTCAGTTTTCCAAATCTGGCAGGAGAGAAGAATGGGATCCATTTTTTTATGTGGCCCTAAGTTTATATGCCTTGGGAAATATGGATGATAAATCAATAACAAGGTTCATTACAGATGAGTATGAGGCGATTTTTCCCCAATGTCTTCAAGACCTCTCAAACAAGATGGAATGTTAATTTGGGCACGGCCACCACAGATGTCTCCATCTTTCTTGCAATCCCACCTGAACAACTACAACAGTTATACATTTACACAGTGTGTGTTTTTAGGAATGGCAGTGCCATCAGTGATCAGATGAGGATTTAACAGAGACCACGATTCCTCCTCAGTCCTATTTATTACCCCGACTCTGCTGGAGCAGAAGCTGAATGTCCTGTTCATGTTCCTTCTGTTGCAAGGTCAGCTGGCGGTCCATCTCCAAGCGTTGACGCTCCAGGGCCACCTCCAACCAAAACACCAGCTGGACCTGCTCCTCCAGCTGCATTTCCAGTTCAGAAAAGGCCACACTCTGCTTGTGCTGGTCCTCCCGCAAGGTCACCACCTGATCATTAAAAGGAATGTTTGGAATAGTTCAACTGGCTGTGGTTATTTAAAAAAAAAAGGTAGCAGGCAGTTCCACGAAGCCGAACTCTACAATAGTTATCCCGGAACTGAACAGGCGCATAGCAGTTTAATTAGCTAAATGTTCTTTAAAAACAAAGCGGATCAATTTCTCAACGAAGAAAAGTGACATGCAAGGGAGAAGTCTACAGCAGGAGTCCCCAACTCCCCGTCTGTGGACTGGCACCAGGTCTTTGTGTATGCCACCTGTGTCCAGCCACTGGTGGAAGCGTTCCTGGAAGGCTTTGATGTCACCGTCTTTGCTTACAGCCAGACTGGCTCAGGGAAGACCTACACCATTGGAGAAGCACGTGTCTGTACGTTGACTGGTTTTCTTGCATGAATTAAGTCCTTTAAAGCAGGGGTTCCCAACCCCCTGTCCATGGACTATTACAGGCTGCGGCATGCCAGCAACCGGGCCACACAAACAAGCAAAGCCCCGTCTGTGGGATGCAGGCAGCACACAAAACCACGCACCCTCCGGTCCATGGAAAAACCTCTCTCCACGGAACCGGTCCCTGGTGCCCAAAAGGTTGAGGACCCCTAGTCTACAGTATTTCCTCTGACATGCTGGCTTTCTATGGTGGGGGGGGGGTTCACACACATTTCTGAGCCATGCATTATTGGATGCCTACCTTATCAAAGTATTTGCAAAGAAGTGCCCGGGTCTCGGAAGAAGAGAGGTAGCTGAGTTTTGCCATAAGGTTCATCTCACATTGGGACAGAAGGCTGGCGGAGGACCTCACAACTCGCTGCCTGCAAGTAATGGACTCATTCTTATATTCTATGGCAGCATCCAGGGCTTCGATGGCTTCATCCAGCTGGAAAAGTATCCGCTCCTCCTAAAAACAGACCAAGATCCCCCCCCCACGCCGAGAAATTATTTGATCCTCATGAGTGGTAACAGTCAGTTGACTAGAATTCCAATCCTCGCTTTATCCACCGACCCATCTATCTACTGACCCTTCCTTCCTTCCTTCCTTCCTTCCTTCCTTCCTTCCTTCCTTCCTTCCTTCCTTCCTTCCTTCCTTCCTTCCTTCCTTCCTTCCTTCCTTCCTTCCTTCCTTCCTGTAATATAGTTACTGTTATGGCCATTGGTAGAATAAAGGGAGATCATGTTCTAAAGTAGAAATCTCCAAACTTGGCAACTTCAAGACTTGCGGACTTCAACTCCCAGAATTCCCTAGCCAGCATGCTGGCTGAGGAATTCCTGGAAATCCACAGCTACCACATTTGGAGGCTCCTATTCTAAAGTATCACCAAGTCCCCAAATGAGCAGAATAATATTCATGGTTCAGTGCAAGCTCCAAGATACCTCATTATCCTAATGACTACAATTTAAGGGTACTTGTTACCTCAACCCAACCTTTCTCATGGAATTGCTGTTGGGGGGGGGGATAAAACAAAGGGCAACCTCCATACAGAATTCAGTAGTGAAACATTTACTAACTTCCATGATGATTCAACCAAACATTGATTTTACATCTGTTTTTTGTTTTTTGTTTTGTCTGTAATGGGATTGTTATCTATTTTAAAAATAGAATGAGCAGACCTGCTTACCTCGGCTGATAGCAAGGTGCCCTGATGTAATTTCTCATCAATCTCCAATCTCTGCTTGAGCAACTGGTCCTTCTCCTGCCGCAAGTTATTAATTTCTTGCCGGATGTGCTGCTGGTCCTGTGCGCTGCTGTGGCAAAGCTGCCCGTTCCTCTGGGTTAGCTCTTTCTCCAGGTACTCAAGACGGCTGGAGACACGAAGAATGTCATCATTCAGAGCCTGAAGCAGACGGAGAAGGAAGAGATCTTAAGGACCATTCAGCGTCCAACAGTCAGTTTTCCAGACTCCAATAACTCCTGGTAAGCAAATATTTACTGAAGAAAAGTTAGGAAGGCAAAATTAGAGAATGTCCACCGATCCTGGGAAAAGACACAGCTGCTTTAAAAAGTAGCAGAGATGTAGTACTTGCACCCCTCAAGATTCTGAAGCATCTGTCTGAAGTCACGTCCAAAGCATTGCACAGTAGGACCAGTGGAATTGCCCAAATTTATTCATACTGTTTCAGAGCTACTGTAGCTACTCCACCCTTAACAAGAGCTTAAAGCTAAGTCACTGTAGCAGAGGAGTGAGAATCTATACACTTTGTATAAATAATTCTTCATTCGCTCAGCATCTCTTACACAGGTTGTCCATATTTCATTTAATCTACTTTCTTGACCAATGTTGACTGCTATAATATACTCAGGAAGCAAAGGGACATTTTGCCCACCTGGCTAGACCGGAGTCTCTTGTTTTCCAGGTCGTTCTTCTCCTGAAGGAGAGCTTCTTTCTTGGCAACAATAGCTTCTCTCTTGGTCAATTCATCTTCCAGCTCACCCAGGGCCCGCCGTTGCTTGAGGACTTTTTCCATCTCTACATCCAACCACTTCTTCTGTTCTTCAATTTTCTGGTAGACAAACAGGAGGAAAAGAGAGAAGGTTGTCCACTGGGATCAGATATGCTAGACCAGGAGTCTTCAAACCTGGCCCTTTTATGACCTGTGGACTTCAATTCCCAGAATTCCTCAGCCAGCCTCCATTTTGTTTCTTAGATTTAAGACAGAGGTCTTCAAATTTGGCCCTTTTATGACTTGTGGACTTCAACTCCCAGAATTCCTCAGCCAGCATGCCTGGCTGAGGAATTCTGGGAGTTGAAGTCCACAAGTCACCAAAGGGCCAAGTTTGAAGACCCCTGTGCTAGACAAGGTGCAAGTTTTTATTGTCAATTCCCCCCAAAAAGAATTCCTACTCTAAAAATCCCTCTTTGGACCAGACCTAATCCCCCAAGTATAATCTCTTCTGCCCTTGGGGTTCATGGATCACCTCTTCCAATTACTTCAGAGAGCAGAATATTTTTGTGATGCTATTTTTATTTATTTTTTACTTATTTAATCTGTATCCCACCTTTATTATTTTTACAAATAACTCAAGGTGGTGAACATATCCAAAATACCTTTCTCCTATTTTCCCCACAACAAGCACCCTGTCAGCTGGCTTGAGCTGAAAGGCGGACTGGCCCAAAGTCACCCCACTGACTTTCATGCCTAGTTGGGACTAGAACTCACCATCTCCTGGTGATTGACCCAAAGTCACCCAGCCAGCTTTCATGCCTAAGGCAGGACTAGAACTCACCATCTCCTGGTGATTGGCCCAAAGTCACCCAGCCAGCTTTCATGCCTAAGGCAGGACTAGAACTCACCATTTCCTATGATTGACCCAAAGTCACCCAGCCAGCTTTCATGTTTAAGGCAGGACTAGAACTCACCCTCTCCTGGTGACTGACCCAAAGTCACTCAGCTGGCTTTCATAGCATCCCAACGTCACTGTGCAAATGACATCGTTATACCATTTGGGTCATGATGTCCATGTTGTCCTTTGCCCCACATGTGGACCACCATTCTGCAGTGTCCTGCCCAGAAGCCCATAGGCAGCTGCTTTTACCTGCTGCTGTTCTAGGCTGATCATGGAGTCATTGCTGCCGCTCCTGTGCTTCCGCTGGTAGGCAGCTACTTCCTCAGTTTTGATCCTCAGAATCTTCTGATGCTGCTCGTGCTTCAGCTCCAACTCCTAAAGATGGAAGGGAAAAAAAATATTCCATTTAGCTACTGTTTGTGTATTTATTTAAAACAAAGGAGAACAGCCCGGATCTTCTGGACAGCATATGGCTTCTGAACCACTTTTAAGAATTCCCTGGGACAAACTCCAGCCATAATTGCTGAAAACTGACCAGCATTTGAAAGTGAGAATCCTACATGTGGAGCCTCCATAGACAGGGAAAGGAAGCCACCCAACATTGCCCTCGAGGCACGTGAAATCTGGGGAAAACATTACTATTCTGATCTTGCTCTCCGATAGAAGCCAGCCATGTCTGAATGTTAATCATGGTTCCTGAATGCCCCAAAAGTTATTGGTTCCCAGTTTAAAATATTTTACGCTGAAATGCATTTCCGCTATCTCTAAATTCATCCCTTGCCAACCTGGATGCCCTGAAATGTTTGGATCTCAGAATTCACCAGGTAGTTTACGCAACTACAATTACAAAAGGCCACATTGCTTGTTTCTGCCAATAGAAGATCCCTGGTGGCGCAGTGGTTAGAATGCAGTATTGCAGGCGAACTCTGCCCACTGTCAGCAGTTCAATTCTTACCGGCTCATGGTTGACTCAGCCTTCCACCCTACCGAGGTTGGTAAAATGAGGACCCAGATTGTTGGGGGCAATATGCAAATAATGCTTCCACATTGTAAACCATCGAGAGTGCTGTAAACTGCTACAGGGTGGTATATAAATGCTATTGCTATATACTATACCAATGCATTACAACATCCTAGATTCCTGGGAAGAACATGATGCATATGAGGGCCAACACCAGCTAAAGAACTGGCAGCTGTGACTTAACACCATTGTCTATATAATAATAATATCTCTCCTTGCCTTGGACGCCAATAAAATTAATTTGATTCAAACATGATAGATAAGCTCTGCCTATCACCAGTTTTTCTCACTTGGATGCTGGAGCCCAGTCTCAAGGTTCCGACTGATAAACCCAACTAAGCAAGCATCGTCAAGATGATCCAATCTCTTAATGCAAAACTTTATTGAGTACACCATTTCGGCAGAGATGAAAGCAAAACCAGCTCTGGTTATTTCCCGCGCAAACCGCTATAATTAAAGTCTAGAATTCTCCCTCCCCCTATTAGTGCAGGTCACATGGTCCAATTGAGTATCAAAATGTTGTTATGAGAAAGTGTCTCTGTGGGTTTGCAAACACCTGCTGAAACATCCTTGGTTCCCAGGGGCTGACTTCATGTCGTCTGGAGTCTGCATTCCATTTCTCTCTCTCCTCCCCCCCCCTACTGCATTGGCAAGTTGAGAAGCAATAATGGTGGCAACATCATACGCGCGCTTCGAGCTTGACACCCAGCTATCTCTACCTTGACCCGATGTTGCCTCTTCTGCATCTCCGTTTCCAAGCGTCGCTTCTGCTCCACTTCTTGCCGCAAGCGCTTCTGAAGCTGCCCTTGCTGCTGCCGCATCAGCTGCACGTTCCTCTCTAGCTCCAGCAGGCGTTTCTCGTTTTGAGCAGAGAAGGAGGCTAGTCTTTCAGTCACCCGCTTCTTCTCCTGCAGGATCTGTGCCAAGAGAAACGAGACAGGGAGGGTAGCAGATGCCGGGACCGGACATTCAGTTCCTAAAATGGTCGGGACGATGGAACTGTGTCCTGATAAGGGTAGTCCTCAACTTACCACCACAATTGACCCCAACATTTATGTTGCCAAGGGAGACATTTGTCAAGTGAGTTTTTCCCCATTTTACAATCTTCCTGGCCACAGTTGTTACGTGAATGATTGTAGTTGTTAAGTTAATAACAGGGTTGTTAAGTGAGTCCGGCTTCTCCTATTGGTTGCAAAAGGGGATCACGTGACCCCGTGACACTGCAACCGTCATAAATACGAGTCAGTTGCCAAGCATTTGAATTTTGTTCACGTGACCATGGGGATGCTGCAGTGGCCGTGTGAAAAACGGTCATAAGTCACTTCTTGCAGTGCTGATGTAACTTTGAACGGTCCCTAAATGAACTGTTGTTAAGTCAAGGACTATCTGTACTTGGCTGCTCTTCCTTCTAAAGTCTGAGCTGCTTCTCCAGATGTTCCCAGCATCAAGCAAAAGCTACGGTGCTGGGTTTACATGGGATGCTTAAATTTAAAAATTCAAATGATTCAATCTGGGCCAAAAGACAAGCCCGTTTCACTCTGGGCTCACGTTAAACTCTTTACAAGTCACAATGTCTGGGTATCAGTAACCAGCTAAACTAGAGTTTGTCATGATTCCGAAAGATGAAACTCTTCGAAGAACTTTGAGGCATTGTTTACCTTAAAGAATCTTTAATCGAGCAGCATAGCTTCGGCATGTACATAGGCAAAGCCAAAATCTGACTTCCCCTCCCTTCAGCACATAGACCAAAGCACAATTCCCTCCTACAACTAACAGTCATGAATCACATTCTCCAATTAGTTTGAAATGCTGGCTTTCCGCCCAGTTCGTTATCCCGCCATGCTTTATCAGCTCTTGTTACGATATTGTATGTCTAACTAACTCCCATCACATTCCTCCCCTCCCCCAGTATCCTTTAACTCTAAGAGTAAAGTATAAGAAAGAAAAAAGCTGCATCTCCATCTGTTGTCAAAGCAAGAACATCCAATGTTAGCAGCGTTGACATAGTTATTTAAACTTTTTTTTTTTTTGCATTTATAAACGGTTGGCTTCACACACATTATGCTACGCCATGAAACCAGTTTACAGTGGTGGTAGGGATTTGCTAAACTGTCTAAGCCAGGGGTCTGCAACCTTGACAACTTTAAGACTTGGGGACTTCAGCTCCCAGAATTCCTCAACCAGCTGAAGTCCACCAAGCCTTAAAGTTGTCAAGGTTGCAGACCCCTGATCTAAACCATTTTGGCTCCAGGCTTCATTTGAACCCTCTTCTTTTCCAGGCTACCTTCGCCTTGCTCTGAGCAGCTTCTACTTTGCTGCGATATTCCTGGAGTTTCCACTTTTCGGCAGGATCACGCGGTTCTTTGCTTTGCAGCTCTTGCAACTGCCTCTGGCCATCGTTCAGCTCCACCCGCACCTCCTCGGCTTCCTCCTCCAGATGTTGGATCTTCTGCTGGTACTGCTTGTTCATGGCCTGAGCATGCTTGCCTGAAACAGACGGACTTCTGTGACATGGAAGAAGGATCAGCCCAGGAAGTGACCTTCTGAACAGAAAAACGAGACATCAAATGAACTAGAAAGAAGAGGAAGAATTGTGCAGAAGGATACAGCAGTCAAAGAGGAACAGAAGCAAAGTCTGATGTTCCAAGAGAAAGCTCTGCTAGTCCTTTCCACAAGTAGAGAAGAAGAGAAACAGATAACCTGGGGAGGTAGGATTGTAGTAGAGGGCATAAGGAGTGGCCCTGAAGGACAAGAGGTAGAGGATCAAGCATGAACTGAGTTCATTTAAAAAAAAAAACTAATTTAAGTAAACGTCTCGGGCAGGTCCCTCTGTAATTCACAGAATGGTGAAGCAAGGAAGAGGAGAAGGGCATTCAGACTTGCAAGAAAGATTATGCTGCTATCGCTTTTCCAAAAACTACTTTTTAGACCAATCTAGTATTGCAAGGGTCCCCAACCTCCAGTCCGTGGACCGGTCAGCAACCGGTCCGCACAAACAAGCAAAGATCCATCCACGAGATGCAGGCAGCACACAAAAAACGTATAAGAGTAGGTTAAAAAAAAATCTGGGAAAGCTGGCTTGCAGCACCATCCATCTTTCCACTAGTTATCAGCATTCTTTGCAAAAGAAATATAACTCTAATGAGTAGCCGCAACCAATGCTTTCTTGAGACGCATGCATATATCAAGAAAAAAAAAGGTAACCCTAATAAAGTACATACTAGGGACCAAAGGGGACAAGAGGTGGAAGTGGAGTAACGGGAAGCAATAAAATTTGTGATTTGCTATGCCCACCTTCTCAGTCATTTGTTGAACAGAGAAATCCCCGCAGTTATTTTACAACGGCTCTCCAAATTCTAAATGTGCCCACGGGTCTAAAGCACCTCTTGAGAGATGTATCTGCACATCTTCTAAATCCTCTTCCCAGTCAGTCCAGCTCTATCCTCAATACCAGGGGTCTTCAAACTTGGCCCTTTTATGACTTGTGGACTTCAACTCCCAGAATTCCTCAGACAGGCACGCTTGGCTGAGGAATTTTGGGAGTTGAAGTCCACAAGTCATAAAAGGGCCAAGTTTGAAGAGCCCTGCTCATCACACAGCTCTGTACCTGTCTTAATGAGCTCTACTATCAGGTCCTCTTTCATACGGATGTTGATGGCCAATTCACGGATCTTCTGGTGGGCCTGAAGCAGCTGCCATTCTGAATCCTTGCCTGGAAAGCTCCCTGCTGGACTGCCCAGCTCCTGTTGCCTACCATCTGGAACAGAAAAATACGAGTGAGAGGTGTATGGGACAAATTTTCTCACAATAAGGGATGGAAGCAATGGCACAAAGACAATGGAGCCTTCATTTCAACTCAGGACCGCTGATTCTCATACTGCAGTGTTTCTCAGCCTTGACAACTTTTAAGGTGAGCAGACTTCAACTCCCAGAATTCTGGGAGTTGAGGTCCATTCATTTTGAAGCTGCCAAGGTTGGGAAGCACCATGACAGAGTGTTAAGGAAAGACTGATCAAAAGCATGAAACGTATGTGGTACCTTTAGACAGTTCCAAAGATTTATCCTGAGCTGCCTCTGGGGATTTTGAGTTGTATTTTTTATTCTTTTTGGTTGAAAGCTCCTCTTTGCTCCAGCTGTGGGTTCTGTTCCTATAAGAAGACCAAGTTGTTGGGTTTAATAAAAACACAGGATACCAATAAAGCAGACGAAAGAAAGAACAAAATTGAAAACCATTTGAGAACTGTCATCTTACACTTGGATACTTCCCTGAGATAACTGGAGGTATTGTACAACAAATATGAGAGATAAAAGTCTGTAGCAAGTCTCTGTGACAGGGTTATATGTGGTGCTAAGCCAAGTCATACTTAATCATAGTTTACTACATAACCCATTACTGATTAGGGCTATATGCTATGCAAGCCACAATAGTCAGTTCACACAAAAGTAAACCTAAAACAAAGCAGATTATGGCTTAGTGAGATATGTGAACTGAGCCAGAAAGATAAGATTCATTGGATCTCTGTCAATTCATGTTAACCTTCTAACTCAGACATGTCAAACTCACAATGTCACATGACGTTGCGCAACATATCAGGAGAGTTTTGCCATTGCCGGCAATGGGATGGGCACGGCTTCCTGATGACACATCCAGCCCGCAGGCCGGCAGTTTGACACCCCTGTTCTAACTCTTAAATAAGTTGAGTTAGCCTACCATAAGTAACTACTCATACTCTCTTCAATGCAGCAATGTCCTTTTGAATCAAGGCCAGATGTTGAGTTTCTTATCTGTACTGTTCTGTGCAGAATAGAACAGTCTGTTCTGTCAGTTAAGGTTCTTCTTTCAGCTTAGTGCCATTTGCTCAAAATATTATCTCACTTTTCTGGCTGGAAGCTATGAACCATAGAAGCGAACTTTTCAGCTTCAAAGCAATCGTTGTCTTGCAGATTTCACCGTGAAGATAATTGTGGACAGGCAAAAAATTCAAGTCTCTTAATCCAAGAGACTCAAGCACCCTCCTTTGTAGATGCAATTTACGGCTTTGATTTGCCTGTCAATAAGAAGGCAACTTGATTGAAAGTCCAATCAGATCAGATTGGCTGATCAGGCTGACGGGGGGGCTGAAAAAGATGCTTGCTTCTTTTTTTAGAAAACCAATTCAGAAAAATCAAATCGGTATCTAGAATCAAATAGAGTATTTCAATGGAATCAACGTTTCAGACTTGAAGCAACCCTTTTGAATTCAATGCAGATGCTTCATATTTAAAAAAAAAACCATATTTGAAACATTGTGGATACCACCAGACCCAAAACCATCTACAAGAAGATGTAAGATGTCCCTCATGACTCACCTGTATTGTTGAAGGGGCCAGACTGGCCAGCATCTATTCTCATCCTCCAAAGATGAATCCAAAACTTTGTCCAGCATTTTCATTTGTAACACATCCTTTGTCCCAAAGCTGTACGCACCATCTCCAGCGTGACTGTGACTTTGTCCCAATGAGTCTTCTCCATTGTGAGCTGTGACACTATGGAGCTATTTAAAGGAATATGTGCAATGAAGAAAAGGCTTCAGGATGGCTCTAAGAATTTGCTTACAGCTCTAAGCTATTTGCCCCAAGAAGGTTTGAGGTGACTTATAGCTACTTAGATTGAATTTTAATGATTTATCTTCTTCCAGGGAAATAAAAAAAAATAACTTATTGCAACACAAACATGAGCCACTTGCTAGCCAATCACATTTTTGACCAGCAAGTTGCACAAGACTAGGTCACGTCATCACGTTATGTGTGATGGGAACCCCCAAAATTGGGTGAATTGAGAAAGCCATGCTAAGTTAAGTATATAATAGGAATACGGTTAATGTGCCTCCCAGACACCTCATTATGTTCTTGCTTTTATTTTTCATTAATTCATGCAATGCCCAATAAGCTGATGCTCAAATTGTTTGCCATATTGTTAGGTAAAATATATTAGGCATATTTTCCAGTGGAGAAAGATAGGTACCCAGGCCTGGGGCTCAGAATGTGTTAAGGACCCAGTGACTTAGCTATACTATTAGTCAATTAATCACCATGGCTGCTGTTTATATTTATTTATTTTGTGGATGTTCTTTATTGTCTGCATGTTTTTACAATTGCTTTTGTTTTATGATTTTAGAACTGTAAGCTGCCCACAGTCAGTCGGTTGAGTTGGATGGCTACAGAAATCGAATGAATAAATAAAGACTTTGAAGAAAGAGCTATCATCCTTTCCTCTCTCCCAAGATTATGATGGGATCTTGCATAGTAGCTTCTAAATTCCCGAAATAACCCAAGATTTTGGTGTCCTTACGAGAGATTTCACAAGTGCATGCAAAAATGTTAATTCAGATGCCTATCACAGTCGCTTCTAAATGTGAGTTTATTTAACTGGATGAGGGCTGAGGGTAGGAAGGGAGACCTAGCCTGCAAGTTGTCTCCAATCCAGACTTAAGAAAAAAAAGTAACTCCCAAGTATAAGGTGATTAAAAACAACTCACAAACCTTACTGGGATTATTACAGGCAAGCTTGAGCCAGTGGTGGGACTGGTGTGCATCCACAGGAGCTGTGTGTGGCCTTTGGTCAAGCTTCACCAGGGGGACAATCCCTAGCAGTTCAGGCATGCCCAAATGGGGCATCTTTAGGTACTTCTGAAGTTCGGAGATGGTATCTTCCTGTTCTCGCAATTTGGCGCCCTGAAAAAAAACAACGCAAGACCAAATGTGACTGCTTGAAAGCGTAGCTGGTAACTTCAGGGCCACGGGCACCCCGCTTCTTTATTGTTCCTATTCTGGTGTCCCCTCCTTCAGCAAAATGAGTAAACTACCCGTTTTCAACAACATGACTTATTGTCTTGTTTTTAAAGGGCGGTCAACCTCTTCTCCAAAGCACCTGAAGACAGGAGAAGAAGCAACGGATGGAAACTAATCAAGGAGAGAAGCAACCTGGAACTAAGGAGAAACTTCCTGACAGTAAGGACAATCAACCAGTGGAACGGCTTGCCTTCAGATGTTGTGGGTGCTCCAACACTGGAGGCTTTTAAGAAGGACTGGACATCCACTTGTCTGGAATAGTATGGGGTCTTCTGCTTGAGCAGGGGCTGGACTAGAAGTCCCTTCCAACTCTGATTTATTTTTTATTCTACTAAAGCACTAACATAACTTTGTGTATACTCCATGCATCTATCAAAAACTGTACGAAGGGGGGAAAATTGATCAAATCCCAATTGACTTCACCTTCTTTGGCGACATCACAGCACCATCTTCAGCTAGCTTCCAAGGCTATAGAAATACTGTATTTTTCCATGCCCCCCCCCACCCCAATTTGTAGCAGATATATCCATCTAGCAGCTTCCGAATGTGCTGGGATAAGAACTCTTCAAATTTCCCCCAAGTTTCTAAAGAAGGACTTCCCAGATTTGCAGTCCCAGCACTTTAAGGAAGGAAACTGCTTCAGAAGAACTACGTATATGAGAGATACGGGCTTGCACCAAATGCCTGGTTGCAGATCTTCTACCTGTTCCCACTGGCCTTTTGAGTGGACATTCAGAGAAACTTTGGAGTTAGAAGGTAGCAAGGCAAGTACGAGAGAATGGAGCGATTGACCCAAATTCCAAAGATGGATGATCTCCTCCCCTCAAATGCAGCTGAAAGGAGATAAGCTCTCAAGGAGCCCAAAAGTGGAGAAAAAGAATACAGCTGCAAAGATGAACGACTCCTTGATCAGCAAGATGGCCGGCCAAAGGAAGAGAAGCTTGCCAACCTATCAAGGAGATACCTGGGCTTTGTACTGCTCCATAGCATCCTCAAGGGCAGCCAAGAAATCCTGGTTCTCCTTCTCTAAGCGCTCTACTTGCTCCTCCAGCCTCACCACCTCCTCCCTTCTCACCATCTCGGGTCCTCGTTGATGCTCCTCCTGGCAAAAGAAGAAGAGAACAAGGAGAGAAAAGTGGGATCTTCTGCATGGGCTCTTCAGAAAGTTCTTGGATCATCTCCCCATCCGGACCAGAGAATGAGCAGAGCACCCTCATAACCACTTTCAGTATCTCCCCACGAGATGCTGTTGGCAAAAACAGCTCCATGTCTTGCACCCCCCAAATAATTTTGATTTCCCTGGATCAGAACCAGTTGGCTGCTACGAGGAACTGCAGGCCATACGTAAATTCCCTTTGTTATCACATCAAGATTGGTCACAAAATTTAACAGTGGCTACTTTAGGCAGCTTCCCAAGTCGTTTAACGATGGAGAAGGAGAAGGGAGGCTATTTAATTACATCCCCACCTTTAACGGTCCCCAAGAGCGAAAAAATAAAAATCCAAAATAATCAATCATGTCCCTTCCAAACACTTCACAGCATAATAGTCTCTGACAGCTCTTTAAAAAAAACAGCCACAATTGGTTGGTTGCTGGCTGCTTAACCTTAAAACACTCTGGTTTATTTTTTTTTTTTAAAAAAGCAGCCAGTGCATTTACTTGACTAACATTTAGTAAAAAAACAAAAACAATTTTCAAAGCATGCCATTTCGTTTTACATAGTCTATCATTATCTCCAGTTATCAACAAAACTGTTGCAGGTTCTTTGGGCGCGTATTTAACTGTTGCACAATTTTGAGGGTTGGGGTTGTTTTTTTTTTGCTTTGTTTTTTTTTTTACTTATTTCACGATTCACACTTGTTTTAACCTGTTTCATGTTTCATTTATTTAGCTATTAAATTTCTATACCGCCCATCTCATCTAAGTGACTCTGGGTGGTTTACAACAACCATAACGTTGCTTCAGGTTTCCTAGAGACTTTTTTCATTTGTGAATAAAATCTTCTCCCTTTCTTTTCTGCACCATCGACCCAAACCCAGGGCATCCAAGTGCTCTTTTCCTATCCCTGTACCTGTCAGGTGCAAGCAAGCAGAACCAGATGTGGAGAGGCCCAAGTAGATACTGTGGGAAGAATCCAGAGAAAGAAATATTTGGGGGAATATTAAAAAGGCGGAATATATTTCCCCAAAGGAATAATGGAGAAGATCTTTAAAAAGGCAGACAACTCAGCAGAAACCAGCTTTTAGAAATGCAGATGTAATAATCCATTCAGGAAGGTTGGAGCCTTCCAGCTAGAAATTGAAGAGATGAGGAAGACAAAGACCGTTAAAATCTACATACCCCACCCAAATTCTAAGGACAGGAAACATAATAGGATTAACCCACCACCATCATCAGAATACCAGAAAGGCACACTCAGGCTCAGGTCAAAGTACATGACACAGGAAATACAAAGCCTCAAACAGGAACAGGAAACAACCTGAAGAGCCCCAGAAGGTATCAAAACCCACCACTCCCTGTGGTCACTCTTTTTTCCAGAGCCATCTTTCTGTCTGGCCCTCCTCTTCAATAAACTACAACCTTCTTTCTAAAGCAGTCTCCATGTTGTTTATTTCCGGCTTGCACTGGACCCTGATGAAGATTTTTCCTTCAACAATACTTTATTGTTGATCACCTATATGACAAGAATCTTGCCGGGGAAGTCTGCCTTCCCCTGGGAAACAGTAGATATAGACCTAATGTTTGGACCTCAGATGTTGCCACTCCTGAACCAACTCCCCTTCCCTAAATGGGCTCCCTCCCCTTCAGTTGGTGGTTCCACCACAGTACCTGAGTCTTGACCAGTTTGGAACTGGAAGTTTTGGAGTGCAGCTCCTCAGCCGAAGTGCTTCCGATCCCGCTGTCTACGCCAGAGATCAAGCTCAGCTCACCGGCCCCGTTTTCCACTGCACACAGCCAGCCCTTCACTTGGAGCCCCTGTTCCTCTGTCAAATAGCCTTGCAGCTCCATCAAGAGCTGATAGGCGGCATCTGTGCAAGTCCGGTAGTGGTTGCATTCAGCTCGTAAGCGAGCCACGTTTTCCTCCACGTGACCCTTGATGGGCACCTCCGATCGACGGATGATGCGAGTCTCCGAGCGGTGTCTCTGTTCCAGGGCCCTCTGAAACTTCTTGAGACGCAGCTGTAGGGCTTCTACGGGCTCCACCTCCTTGCTGCAATTCACCACGGCCCAATTTTTGATATTCTGAGCCCACCGGGCATAATTCAGAGTTGTCAGACTCTCATCAAAGTCGGAGGAGGAAGGGCTAACGCAGGCGATCATCACCGTTTTGGCGTTCCCGCCCAAAGAGCCTTTCAAGATCCTAAAAGCAGAGTAGGACTTCATCTTAGTAAGATTGAAGTAGAATGGGAGAAGGAACAATGTTGTCCGGTTTTTGTTTTGGGTCATAAATATCTCTTGGGAAGGAAAAACGTCTCAGGGGCTGTAAATGAAAATAACTGTGGCACTGAGATTCATTTATTTATGCAGTTCTTAGCTTCAAATCAATTTTATTTCAGGAAGGGGAAAAAAAACACCCATTAGCATTGTAGAACCCTGCCCTGAATTTAATTTATTATTTGTTTAATTATTTTTGCTAACTACGCCATAATTGTCTGGGTTCTCGTGATGTGCTAAGCCACACAGCCTAGCTTCCAAACATCAGCTTGTGTGTTCTGCAGAGCCAGCCAGCCAAGCCTAGAAATCAGGGTTTTGCTTGAACCCAGGCTGTTATGATTTATCCAACGTCACTCTTATGTCCACAATGACTTAGCACACGCTGAAAACCCCGACAGGCTATTTCCCAACGACTGAGCTGTATCCTCTATTTCAGCTTAAAAAAGAAGTGAGGGGAGATAACAAAGGACCATTCCAAAAGCGGAATTGTTTTTTTTTTATTTAGAAAAGCTTAACATTGGATATTAAAATGAGGATATTACATCTCTTGGGGATGTCTGCCTCTTGAGATAAGGAACAATCCCAACCTCTTAGCCTTCAAGAGAGTCTTGAAAACTGCTACTACGTCTTCGGAAGGCCATTTGGATACAGATCATACAAGAGGGTTAATTAAAAAGATGAGATGGATTGGTGTTTTTACTGGCTTGTTCAATCAGCAACATTTCCTTGAGTTCCATAACATCCATTGAGAGGGTCGCAATGGCCAGTTGATCAACGACTACAAGTATTCCTCGAATTTATGTCTGTTTTTTCACACTCACAACCATTGTGGCATCCCCCTGGTCATATGATCAAAATTGAGACGCTTGGCAACTCTACTCATATTTATGACGGTCGCAGAATCCCGTGCTCACGTGATCCCCTTCTGCGACCTTCTGACAAGCTAAGTCAATGGGGAAGCCAGATTCACTTAACAACCGGGCTACTAACTTAACAACCGCAGTGATTCATTAAACTGTGGCAGGAAGGTCATAAAATGGGGGCAAAACTCACTTAAATAGAAATTTAGGACTCAGTTGTGGCCGTACGTTGAGGACTACCGATATGGGAACACAACCATTGCTTCAGCAAAGCAGATAAGATTACATCCTAAGCCGAGCTGCCGAAGGAGTCAGAAAAGAGACTACCTGGTGATTTTGGAATCCCGATATGGGATGTGGCTGCTTTTCCGGCGTGGGTCTCCCAGGGCACTGATGACGTTTCCCAAGGCCAAGAGGCTGGCGTTGATCTGGATACTCTCCTTCAGCCTCTCCCCGGTACACCCCAACTTCATCACCCGCTCAGAACCGGCCAAATCCACAAAGTGAAACTTGGAAGTGAGGATCTGCCCAGAGGTTGGAGCCAAAGTCTTCTCTGGGCAGGCGAAGCGAGCGAGGCAGTTGCTGCTCTGCCTTTGTGCCATGGTCACAGTGAAGATGGTATGGGAGCGACTTGACTTCCTGTTGAGGCGGGTGCCTCCCGTGTGCTTGGCTGCATTGCCCATTTCCAGCAGGCTCAGAACCTCATCCAGACCTTCCACTTCAGTTTCCTTCACCCCGTGCAGCACTGCAACAAGAGAAGAAAGGAATTGTTAGGAGGAAGAAGAAGAAGAAGAAGAAGAAGAAGAAGAAGAAGAAGAAGAAGAAGAAGAAGAAGAAGAAGAAGAAGAAGAAGAAGAAGAAGAAGAAGAAGAAGAAGAAGAAGAAGAAGAAGAAGAAATAATAATAATAATAATAATAATAATAATAATAATAATAATAATAATAATAATAATAATAATAATAATAATAATAATAATATTTCCTGGAATTTTATATACTATTTTGGCAGCTATGATTTTTTAAAAAAGGGACAATAATGAAAGGAGTGGATAATATAGTACTAATAGTAACAGGTGCCTTAGATGCCATCCCCAAACAACCGCAGAACCACTTAAACATCATTGGCATTGACAGAATCACCTTCAATCAATTGCAAAAGGCAGCTTTACTTAGAACAGCTTACATCCTGTGACAATACCTTTAACACCAGCAAATAGCAACAGGGGTGTCAAACTGCTGGCCCGGGACGTGTCACCAGGAAACCGTGCCCACCCCATTGCCGGCAATGGAGAAAAAGCTCCGATACATCGCGCGACGCCACGAGTTTGACATGTCTGGCTTATACCTATATTGCCTCTGTCATCCTCCCATATCTGTATGTCCTTGCTGGCTGTGTCCACTTGCAACAAGTCTCGGAACTCCTCCTTGTACACTTCCAGATAAGAGACGCGGACCGTGTAGTTGAGCAGATCGTTCTCATCCATCAGCTTGAAGGCCTCAGCCATGGCTCGAGGGATTATGCCCTGCTCATCCTCACGGATGGAAGCTGGATAGGAGAAATGGGATTTGTTAGTGGCCCTGACTGCAGGGAGGATGCATCCGCTCCCCAAGGGAAATACTCTGATGCAACGGAATGGTCGTCTCCTTGGAGACACCACTGTCATATATGCTCCCTTTCCCACTAAAGGTAGACCTCCTAGCAAGGGCGCGTAGGCTTGGCAGCGCTTTGAAGAAAGGCATTGCACAGCTTGGATATATAAGCAGTGCATAAATTAATAATAAAACAAGAGTGTTTTAAGGGTTCTTTTAAAAAAACTAGACGACCAAGGAGGGAAGGAAGGAAGGAAGGAAGGAAGGAAGAAGAGGGAGGGAGAGGAAAGGAGGGAGGAAGGAAGAATAGAGAGGGAGGGAGAGGAAGGAAGGAAGGAAGGAGAGAGAGGGAGGGAGGGAGGGAGGGAGAGGAAGGAAGGGCACCAGGGACCGGTTCCGTGGAGAGAAGTTTTTCCGCAGACCAAAGGCTGCGTGGTTTTGTGGGCTGCCTGCATCCCGCGGATGGGCCTTTGCTTGTTTGTGCGGACCGGTTGCTGGCATGCTGTGGCCCGGTACTGGTCCACGGACCGGGGGTTGGTGACCCCTGCTTTAAAGGACCTAATTTATGCAAGAAAACCAGTCAACTTACAGACACGTGCTTCTCCAATGGTGTAGGTCTTCCCCGACCCGGTCTGGCCGTAAGCAAAGACGGTGACATTAAAGCCTTCCAGGAACGCTTCCACCAGGGGCTGGACACAGGTGGCATACACAGAGACCTGGTCTGATGTTTCGGTGAAGATGGTCTCAAACTGGAAACGTTGGCTGTGGCCCAAAGTCACCTCCTTCTTCTCAGGGTCTCCCTGGAGGCAGGTCTGGTGCCCGTGTAACTTTTCCTTGGGCAACAGTGGCCGAATGCGCACGGCTACCCTGACCGGGGTCTCTTCCATCAATGGTTGGACCTTGGCTTTCAGACCCATGGCTGGCAAGGGCAGGAAGTCAGGAGAGACACGAGTCCAAAGGCGGCACCATCTTTCCGCTACAAGAAGGAAGAAGAGGTCTGGAAGAGGGAACTGTCTAGGCAGCTTCTTGGCTCCTCTTGTCTAGTCCCACAATATTCCCAAGATCTGGGAGGGAGAGGAGCCCAAAAGAGAGGACGGGACCTACAGCATCGCCTGCCCCAAGGATGGGAACTGTAGCCAAGGCTGCTTCCAGGGCAGAAGCTGGTCTGTTGGACCCACCTCTGCGTTCCTTCCACTCCCTCACCAGGGACAATCATCGAGCCCTCTCCACACGCTCAGAGGCACCCTGTGTCCAAAAAGGGGGAGCTGCCTCTCTCTGTCCCGACTCATGCCGTCTCCTTTCCTTGCGCATCACACCCTCCCCATCCACCCCAAAGTCCTGGGATAGCCGGCGCGGAGCGATGGCGTCAAGGGGCGGCTCCGGTTCCTTCTCCCCCCCGTCCGAGGGAGGGCTGGGGGGGGGGTGGCGAAGGGGGGAAGAAGAAGGAGGAGGAGGAGGAAGAGGGAGAATCTCGGCCGGCCGGTCCAGAACGCGCCGCTATTCCTGGGAAGAAGATGAAGGAGCTGGTCTCTCCCGAGCCAGACTGCAGGGCGCATCTGGAACGCAGTAGGGACCGTTTGGCTTTCCAGATGTTGGCGAACTCCAATTCCCAGCAGCTCCAGTGGAAAAGCATGCCGGGAATTGTCCTGCATCAACATCTGGGGGAGGAGGCAATGGGGGGAGGGAGGGAGGGAGGAAGCCTCCTTCTTGGAATCCCAAAGATGCTGTTTCACGAGGCAACTGGACTTTCTTCTTTTTTTCTTTTCTTCTTCTTGGAAGGGAACTCAAATCCTCTTTGAGGGCGAACGGGGGGCGGTGGGGGTTAGTGGACGCAGTTTGGGCCTTGCAACTCCGGGAGAAAAAAATCTCTCCGGCGATCTGCCCAGAAGCGCTTCGGGAAAAAAAAAAAATTCGGAAAACCCTTGCCAAGAAAACTGCAGGGACGAGAATCGGACGGGACTGAACGGAAGAAAGAAAGAAAAAATGAAGTTTTGATTTAACTGTGAAATGCGCGCACAAGGAAGACGGAGGGAATTCTCGAGGCGCGTCTGCTTTTGAGGAGCTAAATTCTAAATTCTGGGGGTTTTTTTGGAAGAGCTGGAGAAGCGCATTTCTTTTTTCCAAAAGTACGAGGAAGGTGGATCTGTCGTTCCTCAAGTTTCAAAAAGCAAAGGCAGCGGAGGAAACTGCGGGCTTAGTTTACATGACAAAACACGCCGGGCCTTTTTTTTTTCCCCTCCAGCTTTGCTTAGCAAAATTCCTTCACTTAAGCCATGACCAGCCAGCTTTGGCCAATAAATCATGGAGAGTGAGGGAACCTGCCCTTGTTCCTTAAAAAGGAAGAGAAGAAAACAAACATACCGACACATATTGAACGGAGTTGTGGCTTTTCTTAGTAAACCTTTTACAAGTTTATTTCATAAATAAAGCGATTTCCAAACCAGAAAGTTACAGTGTAGCCCAGCGAAGTTGCGTTCTTATCATGCTTAACTAAAACTGTGATAGAAACACTATTGTACAACGGAGATGGGCTAATGCAATAACTAGGTTAATCGCAAAGCCATCAGAGTCTAGAAAAGGAAAACTTCAGAAAACGACCTGTCCAATGGAGCGGTCATCAACTCTTCTCCCCTTGCAAAAATGGCTATTTCTTCCAGAAAAAAAAAGAAATGTTTTGATTTCAGGGATCAGGAATCAACAATGACTTGAAAGCATCAAAAAATAATAAAAATTCACTGTTACCCTATCATGGCACAGATACGCCTTGGGATCTCTCTCCCTCTATTATGTCCCACTGATGTTGTCTTTGTCGCATTCCCAGCCCATACATAAGACAGCTTCAGCCACCCACATCTGTGTTGCTGAGATGTCTTTTTGACGCTATCCAAAGACAACTTCCAAGGTATGCAAAATCTGTTAGGCTTTGTCACTGATCATCTTGGAAGGAAGTCAGAGGGTGGCATCAGCCGTCCCTGGCAGAGCCAGACAAAGGGAGTCAATTTGACACTGGCGTAGTTTTGTGCCAACTCAGGTGTTGTTAAGTGAGACATTTGTTAAGTGAGTTTGCTCATCAGAAGGACTCAAACCAGTTGCCAAGCATCTGAATAAGTCACATTTTTTTCAGTGCCGTTATAACTTTGAACGGTCACTAAACGAACTGTTGTAAGTCAAGGACTACCTACCTAAACTGGCTCTCAACTCCTTGTCCCGGTAGTAGGTGTGCATTTGGTTGTGCTTACATCCACCATGAGAGGGAGCCTTGATCTGTAGAGATCTAAGCTTGTAGCATTCATCTACGTAAAACGAGCACCCCAACATTACACTACTGAAAAAAAAGGGGTGCGATCTTTTGCCATTTCCCACACAAGGTGCTAAATCTCATTTAAGGCAATTTGTTTCCTTAACCAAAAAAAAACCCAGGAGGAGGAAAAACGATATTTTCCTATCGCCATCATTTATCTGGCCTTTGGCATTTGAAAAAAAAGTATGATTTAGGTCAGAGGTCCTCAACCTTTTGGGCACCAGGGACCAGTTCCGTGGAGAGAAGTTTTTCCACGGACCGGAGGGTGCGTGGTTTTGCGTGTTGCCTGCATCCCGCGGATGGGGCTTTGCTTGTTTGTGCGGACCGGTTGCTGGCATGCCGCAGCCCGGTACCGGTCCACGGACTGGGGTTTGGGGACCCCTGATTTAGGTAGCAAAAAGGTTGCTCATCTCTAAAGTCAGGAACAATATAGCAGACTTGATTCAAGATACTGTCTGCCTGGAGCAGAATAATAGGACTGCCTTACAAGGTGCAAATATTACCAATTGAAACCAGAGGCATTGAATTTCCCCTCTTGAAGCCTAGTAGATAAATAAAATTAAATAATAATTAAAAGTAATACATTGGGCTGAAATTGCCTCTTGCTAATACTCAAAGCCAGCCCAACCTGCTTACCTTACACGAATACGTTCTATGTAATTCTCATGCCGTGGCTTTTCTGCGTAGACACGTTAACCTGCATATGTGCTTTGAACCCAGGTAACTAGCTCATCAAAGCCCCACCCTATATGGGAAGTGTGTGCAACACACCAAAAAGACTTGAGTTCCTACAGATGCAGAAGACTCTGAGTCCCACCCGAATCCTTTAGTTGCTCCAAGGTGGTTCCCCGTCCATTGTTAGTTTTCATTTTATCCATGGATTTGGGGTGGAACAGAATTAGCCTGCTAGATTTGTTAACTGAGCTATTACCCCTGATACCCTGTTTTTTATTGCTCTTAAGAATGTGTTAGTTAGTAGCTGCCAGGAAGGGAACCCCTTCAGTTCCTCTGCTTTGGTACGATCCATGCAAATAACTCCCACGGTGGCAAGTGAGAAAGACTCATTCTTGTTTTGACTGAACAGGGGAAAACAGCGGAAACAGTTCCCTTAGCTGATAGCCTGGACGAAAAAGAGATCTATAAATGGTTCTCCGAATCCCCCTTCGCAGGAGTGCCAGCTTCACTCCTGACCACCAGCCTGGGGCGGAGGTCTCCACTTCTACCCCTGTGAAGATGGAAGCCAACGTGGTGGTCCTAGGAGCTGACAGTGTGGGAAAGTCAGGTAAGTTGGCGACAAAACTACTCCAGGGTGTTTGCTATTCTAGGCTGCAAAAGGCTCTCTCCGCTAAAAAAAAAGAAAGAAAGAAAAAAGCCACAGAAAGAAACTTGCAAACGTGCCATGCAAGCGTCAGTTTGCAGGATACCGTTGAAAAGTGAAAGTTGCCATGCCCAGAAACGGTAGACAGGTACAGTGCAATGGTGCAACCTTTAATGAGCGATGCTATCGGCGGCTAAACTGTCCTCTGCTCCATTAACCAAACAAATTACTAACCGGCTTGTCAGATTCCATAAGTGCTGCAGAACAGCAAAAGGAAATGAAAGAGGTCGTTCACAGAATTGGCCGCAATTCTGATCTTCCGTGCACTTCCAATCCGATTCTCTGCATGCTTAACGTAGAATAAGTCTCGTGGAATTCGGAGATCTGATGCCCAGCCACAACCTGGATCTCCGACCTTCTGAGCTGAGATGTTAGGACTGGATCTGTACCTTTTTTTTTTTAAAATTTATTTTTTATTTTTCCAAACTCTCCCCCATACATATACCGTGATATTTATCAGATATTAACATACATTCTTTTTACATTCTTATATACAAAATACTTTTAATGAAATAAATACATACACATGACTTTTGGTGTTGCTCGCCCATTTCCCCTTTCACTGCATCCCCACTCCTTCTTCTCTACCTTCTTTCTCCCTTCCTTCTCTTTCTTCCCTACTTCTCTCTTCTTCCTCTCCTCTCCTCTCCTCTTTCACCACTCTCTCCTCCAACCTTCCTACTTCCTTCTCCCCTCCTTTACTCTTTTCTCTCTCCTCTCCTTTCTCCCTTCCTTCTCTTTCTCCTACTTCCCTCTTCTTCCTCTCCTCTCCTCTCCTCTTTCACCACTCTCTCCTCCAACCTTCCTACTTCCTTCTCCCCTCCTTTACTCTTTTCTCTCTCCTCTCCTTTCTCCCTTCCTTCTCTTTCTCCTACTTCCCTCTTCTTCCTCTCCTCTCCTCTTCTCTTTCACCACTCTCTCCCCCAACCTTCCTACTTCCTTCTCCCCTCCTTTACTCTTTTCTCTCTCCTCTCCTTTCTCCCTTCCTTCTCTTTCTCCTACTTCCCTCTTCTTCCTCTCCTCTCCTCTCCTCTTTCACCACTCTCTCCTCCAACCTTCCTACTTCCTTCTCCCCTCCTTTACTCTTTTCTCTCTCCTCTCCTTTCTTCCCTCTCATCAGGACTGGATCTGTACCTGATGTGCTTTTTATAAGTTGCCAGCCTCAAGATACGCTTGGGTCGAAAGGAAATTTTTGAGCTTCTTTTCCAAAAAGAATTTATACCTGGGCTCATCAGTGA